GGATTCACAGTTTGTCTGGGTTGTGGTGACAACTACCGTATGACCGTACCGTATACAGGTAATAAATTTCTTTTATTTTCATTTAACAGTAAATGCGTACCGTATTCTTCTTCATGGAAAAATAAGACATCCTCTGAAAATAAGACCTAGGGCATCTTTGAGAGCAAAAATTAATATAAGACACTGTCTTATTTTCGGGGAAACAGGGTAGCGGAGCAGAGCAGAAGGGGCTACTGGGAGGGAGGAGGGTGTGAGTGTATGAAAGACCACCCCAGGGGCTCCCAGAAAGCTGGAGGAGTCCTCACTAGGTTAGGAGCTTGATAGGGAGACCCACTGACAAAGAAATTGCTGTTGCTATAGCTGACCCATTAGAGCTGTAGTCAATGAGTCTGAATGCTATTCCTAATCAAATAGCTCTTATGCAATGGTGTGTTCTTGAAGAATTTATAATTACTAATTACCAAGCAAGAAGGAGGGGACTATAGACACTGGTTCTCAATCTATGAAAGACCTGTTTGTTTGTTTTTTATTTCCAGTGGACTGATTTCTTTTTTCTTGAAATATATTTTATTGATTTTTACAGGGAGGAAGGGAAAGGGATAGAGAGTTAGAAACATCGATGAGAGGGAAACGTGGATCCGCTGCCTCCTGCAGGAAGTGCCACAACCAAGGTACATACGCCTCTGACAGGAATCGAACCTGGGACCCATTCCAATGAGCCAAACTGGTTAGGGCTGGACTGATATTTTTGCAAAATACATAAAAGTGAGTTATCAGAATAATCAAACAGATAAAAAAAATAGAGGCCCTGTTTTTAAAAAAATATATTTTATTGATTTTTTTTACAGAGAGGAAGAGAGGGATAGAGTTAGAAACATCAATGAGAGAGAATCATTGATCAGCTGCCCCTTGTACACCCCCTACTGGGGATGTGCCCATAACCAAGGTACATGCCCTTGACCAGAATTGAACCTGGAACCTTTCAGTCTGCAGGCTGATCCACTGAGCCAAACTGGTTTTGGCAAGCCCTGTTTTTTTTTTTTAATATTAGGTTCAACAGTGATAAAATTACTCTATCAAGTGTGTAAAGGTTTTCAATACTTTTCTAACTGCAGACAGGTGATGACAGTTCGTGGACGGGCACTGGTCTGTAGAACTCGTTTCCCGGTTTTACAAAGTTTTCACCTGATGCCACCTGAAGGGGCTCCATCACCTGGAGCTCCCGCCTCTAGTCACACACATTGGTGAATGGGATAATGGCACTGTGACACTGGCCTTGTTCCAAATAGATGTGTGCGGAGTAATGATGGAGAACACAGAGGGAGAGGAGATGCGGGAGAGGGGGTAAAGGAAGGTGAGTAAGGGGAGAAGGGAAGGGGGAGAGGGAGGAAAGAGACCAGAGAGAAGGAGAGGGAGACTGAAGGACACAGCCTGCACATATTTGGCAAAATATTAGTAATTGATGTTAAGCAGGTGTTCAGGTGTTTATTATCCAGTTCTTTCAAATCATGAGAAGATTTGCAGTTAAAAAAACAAAACAAAACAAAAAAAACCCAACAACACAAAACACAACTTTCTTAAAAAACACAGCTCTAGCCGGTTTGGCTCAGTGGATAGAGCATCGGCCTGTGGACTGAAGGGTCCCAGTTTGAGTTCAGGCATGCAGGAGGCAGCCGATCAAGGATTCTCTCCCATCATTGATGTTACTATCTCTCTCTCCCTCTCCCTGCCTCTCTGAAATCAGTAAAGATATATTAAAACAATAACAACAAAACTTTCCAGTGAGCCCTAGCTGGTTTGGCTCCATGGATAGAGGTCAGCCTGCCACTGAAAAGTCCCACGTTCGATTTCAGCAAAAAACAAATGCCTGGGTTTCTGGCTTGATCCCCAGTAGGGGGTGTGCAAGAGGCAGCCAATCAATGATTCTCGTCATTTATGTTTCTATCCCTCTCGTCCTCTCCCTTCCTTTCCAAAATCAATAAAGTATATTAAAACAAAACAAAACAAAAAAACAACTTTCCAGTTATAGGAAACACCCTTTTCTTCAAAAGCCCAGTTCCAAGATAGCTCATTTTACTCTTCAGTATATATATTGCAGCTCGAGCATTCATTTGTGGCTTTGTTACCTGCTATGGCTACATGTCTAATCTCCTTTCACTTTTCACTCTTTTCAGAATATCTCCTATATGTTATGTACCCTTACGACATAACTTTAATCATATCACACCTTTAAAAAAATCTCACTATGTACCTGTTGTCCTTCAAAGTAGAATGTCTTATTCAAGATTTTCTGCAATCTAAATTTTAGCTCTTATTTTAGCCTTCTAGCTTTGCTTTCTCATGTTAACACCATCATGAAAAATTTTTATGCTTTTCCATGTTATTGCTTCACAGTTCTCGAAATTTCCCCCTACAAAGAATTCCATTCTATACACTCTTCAAGATCAGCTCAAATTAATTAAACTTAGATGTAGTTATATATCTTACTATACACATTGTTCAAATCCTACATCGTTTTCCTTGATTAACTCAGCCAAACAATAACCCCAGTCTCCAGGGCTTAATCCAGTCTGGCATATACACTTAGCACAGTATATACTTTTAACTTTTCTAATAGTTATTTTTGTTAAAGATTTTTAAAAAACGTATTTTATTGATTTTTTTACAGAGAGGAAGGGAGAGAGATAGAGAGTAAGAAACATCAATGAGAGAGAATCATCGATCAGCTGCCTCTTGCACACCCCCCACTGGGGATGTGCCCGCAACCAAGGCCATGCCCTTTGACCGGAATCGAACCCAGGATCTTTCAGTCCACAGGCCAACTCTGTCCACTGAGCCAAACTGGTTAGGGCTTGTTAAAGATTTTTACAATTAATTTCTGAGAGAGGAAGGTTAAAGAGGGAGATGAATCAGCTGCCTCCTGCCCGCCCCCTACTGAGGACCACGCCCCCTACTGGGCATGTGCCCCCACCTCCTGGTTCATGGGACAATGCTCAACTAACTGATCCATACCAGCTGTGCTAGACTAGCTCTCAAATTACACCACAGGACGATAATACATTGTCTATCTCAAAGAATGGCATGGCGGTTAAAATGTTTGAGGTTAGTATTTTGCATTGTACCCCTCTGAAAGTATCTGTTAATCATAATGCCTCTTTCTATTTATTTCTATTTTTGCTTTTCCTTGAGGCAACTTATGGAATATAAAAGCTGATCAAGGCCTAAGGCAGTGGACATAATACTGGGGTACTCAAAGCTATTTGAAGATTTTCCAAGATGTGCATGAGCAAGGAGAATTTGTTTTCAAGTATTCAGTTCTCTGATCCTTATTTCCCATCAGTAGCCATCCCCCAAAACTGATCTGCCTGAAAATGTGTCCGGGGGTCAGAGTGACAGCACCCTCCTTTCCTGTCTCCCTTATCCCAATTGCCCCTCCCCTACTTTACAAAAGAATGGCATAATTCTTTCCCAGCCCAAATCTTATAAAGTGTAATACCCAGGAGGGGGATGCAAAACCTTCCAGACAATAAAAAAGAAACAATGGACTGGAGAAACAGAATGTGTTAACACTTCCTTTTGTAAATCAGGTGGTTTTCAGTTGCTTATTTCAACCAAGTTGAAAGAGAACTAATCAGAGTTGTCAGCTGATAGATCATTAAACATATTTTCTCTTTGTTAGATCTTTATGTGGTTTCTGGGCATACCATTTGGAATGAGTTTCAATGAATGGCATTAGTATGACAAAAGTCCATTCTCATCTACTTATGTCTATGGACTAGTTTTCTCAATGCTTATGTTCATGGAATTGAAAACTTGGACTAGAATTAATGCTGAGTTCATTCTCATTCTAGTAATACTCAAACACAGATAAAATAGGCTGGTTGAAAAAAAAAATCATCCAATCCCATTTCTGTAAGATGCATTCCCAACAAAATTTTACTTTTATGTTTATTTATAAATACTTTCAACTTGTTTTATCAGTTGAAATAATAAGACTTAAAAGAGTTTTTATGATCAGGGAATTTATAAACTACCCTTACGTTTCAATTTATATACACATTTTTATCAAAAGGAAATGTAAGATGATCAATAAAAGAGTTCAAACACAAAATATATTATGATAAAACTCTGGAGAGGATGCGGAATGCCAAGATCAAAGTTCACTCGCTATATGTTAGGAAGCGTGACAGTTATAAAGTATTTGTAACAAGCTGGGAGAAAGGCAGACGCCCCTTTAACAAAATTGTTCCAAAGGGCTCTGGAACCAAAAAGTTGAAAGATTCCTCAACAGTCAGGCTGTCCTGGTTCTGAGACGGATTGAACCTCTTCCTTGAGGGATTCAAACGCAGGTTGGAGTAGAAAACCTGTGGCTCTAGGCCGGCGCTTAAGGATGCGGTACCTTGCACTGTGTTAATGTATGGTTATTCTTTTAAATCGCCTCCCCCTCCTCAGATTGTAAGCTCTCCGAAGCCCAGGGCTCTGTTCGATTTCCGGGGCACTCATTTCTGGGCTCAGTGCCCGTGCTCTTGGGGACACTCCCCAGACGCCCCCGGGATGAATGAATGAATGAATGAATGAACGAATGAATGAATGAAGACTGCCGTGAGAACGCGCTGGGCTGTTAAAATCCCCGCGGGCACTCCAGTTTCGGTTCAGCGCGTCCCGCCCGCCCGCTGCGAGGCCCGGCCGGGGAGGCGTGGGAAGGCCCGAGGGGAACTCTGCGCGCTCGGCGGCCGGGAGGGCGGGGCAGGGCCGGGGGGGGGGCGGGGGAGGAGCCGCCGCGCAGGCGCGCCGCCGTCCCCGCGTGCGCGCTGTCCCCGCGCGGGCGCCGTAGCGCGTGTGCCGGCTGACGCAGCCCGAGGGCCCTCCTCTCGCTCGGCGGCGGCGGCGTCGGCGGAGTTTGGGGCGTTAGGGAGGAGGGGGCGCGGGAGGGAGCCGAGTCGCGAGAGGGAGGCGGCGGCGGCGGCGGCGGCGGGGAGGAGGGAGGAGCAGGCGCCGCCATGGCCGCCGCGCTCACCGACATGGCCGACCTGGAGGAGCTCTCCCGCCTGAGCCCTCTGCCCCCCGGCAGCCCGGGCTCGGCGGCGGCGGCGGCGGCGGCGGCGGCGCGGGGCCGGGCGGAGCCCCCCGAGGAGGACGAGGACGAGGACGAGGAGGAAGCGGAGGCGGAGGCCCAGGCGGTGGCGGCGCTGCTGCTGAACGGCGGCGGCGGCGGCGGCGGCGCCGGGAGCGCTGGGGGCGGCGGCGGCGGCGGGGGCGCCGGCGTGGGGGGCGGCGAGGCGGAGACCATGTCGGAGCCGAGCCCCGAGAGCGCCAGCCAGGCCGGCGAGGACGAGGACGAGGAGGAAGAGGAGGACGACGAGGAGGAGGAGGACGAGGGCAGCAGCAGCGGCGGCGGCGAGGAGGAGAGCAGCGCCGAGAGCCTGGTGGGCAGCAGCAGCGGCGGCAGCAGCGGCGACGAGACGCGCTCGCTGAGCCCGGGCGCCGCGAGCAGCAGCAGCGGCGATGGGGACGGCAAGGAGGGCCTGGAGGAGCCCAAGGGACCGCGGGGCGGCCAGGGCGGCGGCGGCGGCGGCGGCGGGGGCGGCAGCAGCAGCAGCAGCGTCGTCTCCAGCGGCGGCGACGAGGGCTACGGCACCGGGGGCGGCGGAAGCAGCGCGACCTCCGGGGGCCGGCGCGGCAGTTTGGAGATGTCGTCGGACGGGGAACCCCTGAGCCGCATGGACTCGGAGGACAGGTGAGTGAGTGTGCGCCGCCAGCGTCCCCCTGGCTCCCTATCCCCCCTCTCCCTTCCGTCCTCCCGCGCTCCCGGGCCCGGGGGGGGGTTTCGGGGGGGCCCTGGACGGGAGGACGCTTGGGGGCTGAGATGCCATGCCCCCCGTTTCCCCTGCACCCAGGGCCCCTCCCCCAGGCGCTCCGCTCGGAAACCTCCCGGCCGCCCCGCCCCGCCCCTCTGCTTGCGGATAGCGGCTCCCAACTCTCTCCGATCCCCTCTCCCCACCTCCCCGCGCGCCCCCGGCTCGGACCCGAGGACAGCCCGCCCGCCCGGCCCGGAACGCGCCCCCCGCGCAGGCCGCCGACCCCCCGCGGGAGCCGGAGCGAGGCCCCGGGAGCGCACCCCGGCCCACGAGGTTAGCGTCCGCCCGGAGCGCCCACACTTGTCACAGCTGCAACTGACAAGTGTTTTCCAACATGGCTGGTCTCGCCGGGATTTTCGCAGAACTTCCTTGTTCGGGGGAGGAGACCCCTCTTCTTAGAAAAAGAAAAAAAGAAAAAAAGCAAAAAAAAAAAAAAAAAAAAAAAAAAAAAAAAAAGCGGTTCTTTTCTGCGTAATCGCTGCTCCCCAAATGCCTCCCAGGCAGCCGTTAGCGCGGTCTCCAAAGGGATGTAAATAGCTTGTATGGGCACAAATCTGGGAGAAAGTTGAGAGCGAATCAATCTGTTGTCGAAAAAGAAAAGGTGAATGTTACGGCTTTTCAAAAATAACTTGGCGGAACCGGAGGGAGTTGGAAGGGGGACGGACGGAATAGGCTCTCGGAGGTGCCCGCATCACGGTAGGCGGTTTGATGTCTCCATGAGTTTAGGTGGTGGTGGTGGTGGTTGAAGTCCCGGGTTCGGGAGCTCTGCAGGAATTTGCGTTTTTCTAAGGAGAGTTTGTTGGGAGGAACGTGGGGACTGACCAAAACTGCGCTTGCTTTTTCCCCCCGGGACATTAAAGCCATTGCAGTAGTACGTTTCGATTGTTACAGTTATTTTTGGTCTCTTTGGCAAAGTTCACATTTTAAGGGATTGGTTCTTAGTGTCTACTTTTTAACAACAGCACTGCCTCATTCATGTTGTACTGCTTCTGAAGTGTATTAGCATTTATTTTTGACGGTCTGCTAATGTCTAGATGAGTAGTCTGTTTTTAAATAATCTGTATTCACTTGGATTTAGAAGTTTTAAGTGTTCTAAAGTTCTAGGAGTAACGATTGGTAACTGATAAAAATGAATGTGATAAGGAATGTAAGACCCTAAATATTTTGGAAATACAGTGTTAGGATCTGTTTGACACTTTAATATCGATTTAAGACATCTTGGGTGGGGTAAAACAGACTGTACAAACCTTAGAAAAATTGTACCCAACTGTGTAGGCATGGCAGGAAGGAGAATGTCTTCAAGGGAATTAGAAATTGATGTGAACTGCACAATGAAGAATGCGTTATTTATCGTTTTATTACTTGTGGATCCTTCATTGGTACCTGAAGATATTTGAAAGTTAGTTGTTTCCACAGTTTTTCTATTTGGTTATGGAGACACACACACACACACACACACACACACACACACACACTTGTTTAGCACTGAACAATTTAATTGCAGTCATTTCATTCACAGTTTGGTGCAAATTAGGTATTATTTTGGCTTCTATTTACCAGGTGAAAAAGCAAGTTGAGTGTCTTCCTAAAAACAGTAAGTATAGAATGGTAGTGGTGAAGCTGAACAAAGGTTCTTAAGTCCTTGCTGTTTCCATTTCACAAGAGTAAGAATATTGCACCTTAAATAGCAAGCTGTATGTGTCAGTTTTTGTTTGTTTCAGTTAATATCTTGTCCACTGCAATCCTTTTATTAGGAGACAATGAATTACTGGTCAAGTAATATTTCAGGAAGTGGAATTTTGGCCTCATTTTATACTTATTGCATATTTACTTGAGTATCTACTTTTTATATCATACTTCAGAGTAAGGAGTAAGATAATTGGTGCCACAAGTCCAAATAAGGTTAAAACTTGATAACTAAGCATACTTGCTTTTCTTAATGCTTAAGCATTGGAGACTACAGAATACTGTAATTTTACCATTTCAAGGTAGTAGATTGATCACTTCTATTGAAAAAGCCTTACATTACTAGTGAAACTTTTTGTGGTCTTGATAATCTTAATTCTGTTGTCCTGTTGTCATTGAGTTAAAGAACAATTTTAAGTTTGGAAAGGATTCATAATTCTTATAAATTGTCCTGCAGATTACACTAATCTGTGTGGATTTTGTAGATTGATTTCATGGTAGGAAGTCTTTATTTTTGTAACTGATGAAGGGATATTGTGGTTTTAAAGTGCTTTAAAAAAAAACTTGAGGCAATTCTATCACAACGATTTTGTCATTAGAATTTACTGTCTCAGGATATTTTTTTTTAACACTTTGAAATTAGGTAGTGTCTTTGAATTTAACATATTTTAGAATTTGTTGAAATATCAAATATTTTTAACTGTAAGCTTCTTAAGAAAGAATTAATATAAACACAGATTTTTTGAAGCTTGTGATTCAAGGTGTCTCTTTTAATCATGTATTGAAAGTGTCGTGTGATGAAAACTGACTAATTTATAAAATGATTAAATGACATTTGGTACAAAAAAACATCGATTCTTTTCCCTGGGAGAGAGTTATTCAAAACCATTTAAGTGTATTAGTGTGTTTATTTTAGTCAAGTTAGGAAACTTAAAGTTGATGGTAATTTACTTTGGTTATAGAGATAATGAAATTTTCTTTTGGGGAGGGAATATTTAGCTGTGCAAGAACACTAAAAAGTAGTTTTTCTTTTACTTTGAATCTAAGCTTAAGTATTTTTTAAAAAGTTACCACCTTCTAAGTTAATTTCAGAGGCTATCTTAAATACAATTATAGAATTTAAAATGCCTCATTTCTTTTAGTTTACAAATTCGTTTTAGCTATTGAATCAGATTTTACTACATTGAAAGTACTCTGAGCTACTTATCCTATTTAAGTGAATTAATAATAATCTCTTTCATTCTGTGTTGTTTCTTTTAAGTTATCTCTCCCTTCCCTCCAAACCTCAACTAGAGTATAAACCATGACTTATTTTTGAAAAAGCCAAGGCCTCTTTCAGCCACTTTTATTAGTCTTTATGGGTAAATCTAGGTATGAAATGAAAAGTGCCTGCATGAGGATGGGGCAAAAGGGAAGGGCATGTAGAATGAAACTTATTTTAAATGTTCAGCAGAGGTCACAGGCCCTTACCATCTTGTGGATTAAAATTTGTCAATTTTGGGGGTTGTAAACAGGTATAATTAAGGTTGCTTTGAAATTGGGAAAACAGACTTAGGTTGCTCAGTTTCCCTATAGTATGGTTCAGGAAAACTTTTTCTAATATAGAGGCTAAATTTTAAATTTTAAAATCAGGTTAATACTAGAAGGTTGATGAGGTTATTGTCAAGATTTGTTAAGGATCTGTTTGTTTGAGGCAATAAAATACCTTTATGTAGAGTAATATTTTGCTCATAATGCATAATTAAACTCCTTTTCACCACCCCTTTCATCAGCAGTCAGCTCTTCAGAGTTTCTAGAATACCTCTTTTTCACCACCCTTTTATTTTGATTAAGAGAGAGATAGAAGCATTAATGAAGAAAGAGAATAATTAATTGGTTGTCTCCTGCACACCCTGCACTGGGGATGGAGCCCGCAACTTGGACATATGCCCTGACCGGGAATCGAACTGTGACCTCCCCTGATCCCCATAGGTGGATGCTCAACCACTGAGCATGTCGATCATCAAATTTTTGATGACTTGAGACTACTTTTCAAAACCCATCAAAATACACAACAAACCCCTTTCCTGGTCTTTTAAAACTTGGCTTTAATTTCTTTTTCTATTTTTTTTCTTCTCCTTTTATGGTTCTCTAGGTAGAGGGATGTGGTATATTTAATAAAAAGAGCTTATAATCTGGAGTCAAAGGGAACAGTTCACATTTTAGTCTTGCCTGTATTATGATTTTAAGTAATATCTTTGAGCCTTAGTTCCTCAGCTGCAAAACAGGGTTAGATTTTACCATGAAGGTTTTCTAAGGTCTAAGTGAATTTTTGTTAATGACTCCTGTGAACTGTTTTGAAGAATCCATGTTATTTTATCCTTTTTGTTGTTCAATGGTATATTTTTGAGAGCATGGATAGTTTAGCTGGTTTAGAACTTTGAATTTAACACAATACCTTGGATATGGTGAGTACTCATTGATTAGAATTAAATTAAAAAACTGACAATAGAATTTATATAAATAAACGAGACTATGAACTGAGAGCCAAGATTAGATGTCCTTGGTTGGATCATTATATTTGGTATTGATGAGTTTAAGGACAGCTTTGCCTGTGACATTGTATGCAAAATTAGTAGATACTTTTCTCTGAGCAGAAACTAGCAACTTTTCTTTTTCTTTTTTCTTTTTTAAAATATATTTTATTGATTTTTTACAGAGAGGAAGAGAGAGGGATGAGAGAAACATCAATGAGAGAGCATCATCCATCAGCTGCCTGTTGCACACCCCATACTGGGGATGTACCCGCAACCAAGGTACATGCCCTTGACCGGAATCGAACCAGGAACCTTTCTTTCCGCAGGCTGACACTCTATCCACTGAGCCAAACCGGTTTTGGTGAAACCAGCAACTTTTCAAATGAGTTGGTCTAAGAATTACCTATTTAGAGGAGACCAGAGGTGCATAGTAAATGTTAAAAGATTTGACAACTCTGAAATGGAAAATTTCTATAAAAATGAGTGTGAGTATGGAAATCTGAAATGGATAGTTACCAGAGGGCTGCTGCTTTTTTTAAACGCCACTGTTTAAAAGCATTTACTGTATAAAAATGCTTTGACATTTTATCAAAGTTAATGAAAAACTTGAAATTAAGGGGAAGTATTGGGAGAGAAGTGAGTTATGCGTCAGAATGTTTGGAGTTGGAATTCACTTA